GCCAAGACCAAATTCCTTGGGGGAAACACTGAAAGGTATTTAAAATACAAATCATGACATACAAAATAAAAATAAAGCAGCCTTTAAAATATTGGGTCTGTTGGCACTATTCATTAGTTTTCTTTAAATCTTTCCCACTTTGACCCTAGTATCAATATGTTGGGGTCATTTCATCTCAGAAAAAGTTCAAATAAACAACCCAAGTGCATAATTGAGTGTCCTTGGTGGGATAATCTCCAATCCACAGGCTTCTAGGTTCAGAGCAGTTCCTCAAAGAAATGATGTCATCGTCAACCCAAGTTACACAGAGGAACTCTTTCTGTCTGAGAGACACTTTGTTCCATCCTGGGTCGGCGGCATTCACCAGGCCGCTGACAGCTGCTCACAGAACGAGTGCAGATCATTTCTCACAGAATAGTCTGCGTGCTTCTTCAGCCCACAGGGCAAAATTGGTGGCATTTTCCCTCCAACACCCAAGCTTTTCCCACAGCCCCCCCAATGAGCAGAGCTGCGCAGCCATGGCTGCTTTTAGGTCAGCAGAGTCACAGAGGCTGCTGCTCTCTCAATAACTCCGACCAACGTGTGTCATGATAATCCCTTAGTTATGCAAATCTCCCTTTGCCTAGTGTGCGGATGGCAAAAGGGGGAAAAAAAGTAAAGATGGCAGCACAATGTAGGTCACTATCTTGTCCCGATTTCTTCACATTTGTCAAATGAGCTTGAAGTTTCCTGTTAGCAGCTCTGCAGTGAGGCTGTGTTGAGATGAAGCTCCGGCCTGGTCAGCCGAGCACCAACATTTCAGGGAGAGTGAAACACACCAAGTGCCGCGCATTTTACCGTCTGTTCCTCCGTGAATGCAAACAAAACATAAGACAGGGATAGAGGGATATTGTTGTCTTCTCAAACAGATTAACTGTTGTCTGGGTGGTGCGAATCAACAGGACTAGAAAGTGTGTCAGCCCTTTCAGGGAGCCGTGGCGCTTCAGACAATAAAGCAGAGGTCATTAGCATTGTATTAATTTGGCCAACTGAGCAGAGAGCGAAAGTGTGCACTCAAGGCATGTGTGTGTGTGTGTGTG